GCGCCCGGGCGCTTTCGCCCTTGTTGCCTAAAAGCGGCGTGGTCTTTGTGAGGGTGTGCGCCCTCCCTGCCACTGCCTCATGATTGCATCAGCTTGTGCTGCACCCTGCAGGTGGGTGCGCTGCCCTCTGGCAGTACCATGCCGTAGGCGTTACGATGGATGGGTTCAGCTCTTCGCTCCCATCCCGAAACGCTCCAAAACAGACCCCCCCCCTGCAAAAAAGGGGGTGGGTGGGGAGAAGACCTGTGTGCCCCTGCCTACGCTATCGTTACATCCCCCCCTCTCTCTCCCTCCCTCCCCAAAATGCCGGTGCGGCGTGGAGAGCGGATTCTCTAGCTAGCTGGATGGTGCAAGGTGAACGCTGATGCTGCAATAGTTGGAGGTGGGGAACAAAGCCGTCCAGTTCTTATTACTCTGTCTTGCGGTCTTTAGGAGGTGGGGAACAAAGCCGTCCAGTTCTTGTTACTCTGTCTTGCGGTCTTTAGAAAATCAGCGGCGGAAAATAAACCATTTGTGCGGGTTGCAATCGGCAGAAGCTGTTCTGCTGGTGCATGAGACTTTAACCAGTTGCCAGTATGGCACATGGAGGCATCAAGGTGCCAAGCTCCCGTCATCATCTTTTATTCCAAGTCTTGCTGAAATCCTTGGTGCTGGTAATATGCGGCACTAGAAAGAGGATCTGCTTTAGGCATCTAGCTCAAACTTGAGATCTAAATAGCTTTTGCAGACAGGATCAGTAGGTAGCTTTCTCCAGTTGCAGTTCAAAGGGTACATAGTGCTTGATCTGATTCTGTTCTGGAAAAATTCTCACAGTGTATTTCATTCTAATCTTTTAAAGGTTATCATGTTCTAATTTGCTTTACCAGTCTTCTTCATAGTACAGAGAAATATTGTTGGATGAAAAAATTATTTGCTTTATTCAACTTGGTAGTGCTTGCCCTGATAAAAGGACAGTAAATATTGTTTTTCTCAGGTCTGTGTGTTTACTTCTAAAATGTATTTGGAAGTTATTGTTTCTAGGTGTGAGTAGAAAAACAGATGGCTGAAGGAAATACTCTATATAAATGAATGGCTTGCAAATAATATTAATTAAGGTCATGGCCAGAGCTTAGCATTTCTATGGGTGAACG